TATACACAAGTTGTTGAAGTCTAAGTCATTGGTCCTTGACTGATCCATGTCAGGTCCTTGAATGGTCCTTCACTGCTCATTGACTGGTCCACTTTACTGGTTCAGTCAAGGACCAATGACGGAGCAGACACGGAACAATCAAGGTCCACTTGACTGGTCCGCTCTGATTATTCAGGTTGTCAATATTTTTGGAATAACCTTTGAGTTTTTAGGCCTTTCTTTGTGGTGCAGTGTGCAGGTTGTAAATTTCTCTGCAGCTTCATTTCATTGCTTCTGAAGGCCAATCAGTGAGCAGCAGTTTGTTTGCATCTCAGGAAGGTCCATTCAGCAAGTTTTAAATCCATGCACCAGACTGTAAAACCAGTTATAGAAGCACTTTCCAGACAGAGTGAGGTGGAGCGGAAGGAAAAGGAGCCTTACTATCATTTTCTGTTTTTGTTTTTGTTTCAGGTGGAGCAAGAGAGATCAGCATGATGTTAACAAAATTTGCTGAACTGTTAAGGTATTCCAATTTCTCCTTTCCGTTTTACCATCAAACCTCCCCTTTCAGATCAAATTGGTCGTGTAGATGTGAGATGATGCTGAACGGAGCTGGCTACAGCCGAACCTAAGCTGGTTGGTCTGTAGGTGAAAGCAAACCTAGTGAACTAAGCAGAGATGGAAAATCAAGGTCCAGAAAAAAAAATCATACCTACTTTTCCTTCTTCCTGCTCGTTAAACCAGTTGATGGGTTCTGGCTGCATCCCTCTTCACCAAGTCGACACATACCACATTTACACTAGCCTTTTAAAACCAAGAACAGTCCGAGCACGGTAACCGAGATAACTGTTGAGTGTTAATGGAACCTAACTGAACTGGACCGTGCCAGACACAATCGAACAGCGCTACATTTAGTCCTAGTTTAACAGTAGGACTCAGCACGGTTCATCTGTGGCTCGAATCTCTGCGAGCACATAAGCAGACTATGTTTTCTTCTATTTACAGTCAGCTGACTCATTTCCAGGGTTTAGTGACGTGTCTTTGCAATTCACAGACACAAACTTCTTCTCAGCCTTTTAACAAAAAATGGCTTCAAAAGAGCCCTGCAGTTGACTGGCGATCTGTCCAGGTTGTAGCCACCTCTCGCCCGTAGCCAGCTGGAGATAGGCACCAGTACCCCAACTGGGATTACGCGTGACAGAAAATGGATGGATGGAAGAGAGTGGTGCGACCCGGGATGATACAGAGTGTTGGGATCCAATGTCAATGATGTAACCAGAACTACTCCCCTCTTGAAGGTGCACCCCTCCAGTTGAGTGTTTAAAGCGGAATATTTTCTATTCAACTTCAACCGTTGGCCCCTCGACTCCGTAAGGCTAGTCTAAGTGCTTCTCAGCTGCAGTATGGACCAAATCCCTGGAAGGTCTGTGCTTGCTAGACCGAGTCAGACTACCTTGCCTACGATTCAGAATGAGCCGATCATAGTGCCATCTTTTCCTGCGAGTCAAACCTAGCAGCTGGGAGAGCTAATCCATCTCTGGTTACCTAATCTAACCAACGAAGGAGCAACAGTGGGGCCCAATTGCTGTTTGCCGATGAGCCGTTAGAAGCCGTTGACCAGTGCCATACAGGTCCTGCCTGGACCAACTAACACTAAGTTGCTAACTGGTTAGCAAGATGCTTCCGAGACACCGCCCACAACTAAACTTGCTTGCGAACCTTCCGCCACAACAATCCCGCCCCTTTAATAATCGACCAATCACATTCACTTTTTTCACTCATGTAAAGTCGGCAATGTTCCAGCTGGGCTGAAAACCAGTTTAACCAGTTAAACTGGTTTCCAGCTAAACTCGGCGGGAACGGCAGCAGGAAATCTGGCCGCAGCACAGAGCGTTTGTTTTTGGTCCGACTTGCCATGACCGAAATACTAGCCCTAGTTTAAATTTTAAAATGAATAGAATTATTGAAAACTGCTTTTTTAATGTAAACCATTAAACTTGATTTTAAAAGTTCAAAGCATCTGCCCTTAAAAGGATGTAACTGCTGTGTATGACACTGGGCAGGTGTTTAAACCGTGAGGGGTTTGGATAAAACCAGTACTCGAACTGTGTGGGGATAAGGGGGGTGGCATTCCCCATACTATTCCCTGTGACATTTTATTACTGAATGTGTAAAATTTCTTCTATATATTTACAGTAATAGAAGAGCATTTTGTGGGCTGTGGGCGTACGAGTAGCCTGAGCAAAATAAATCAATCAAAGAAGTGTCCTACCATGACTATGAAGCTGATCCCAGTGGGAAATGAGTCCCTATCTACTGTAAGGTGCCTTGGTCCAGGTCAATGACAGGCATATCTGATTTATTATTTTTCTTTACAATTACACTACTGGATATAACCCCCCCAAACTTCTGTGAAGATGAGAGATTTCCATTTGAAATGAATTTCCTCATTGATGCTCCGGGCAGAGCAGTGTCTAGAGACAAAGTGTACTGATTCCCTGTCAGGGAAAGTCTTTACCTGTCAGCGATGGCTGACGAATGTCACAGAGAGGCTAACATTTCTTTTTAACTTTAGCTCTGCTAAATTATTAACACAAACACATGAAAGGTTGTTTAATGTCTTAGCTTTAGTCGTTTGGAGCTAATGGGTCGCTGCTTTATTCTCCAGTAAACCTGCAAAAGTCGCTCATATTCAAAATACAAACCTCTG